AAAAACGAAGAAGTAATTCTTACCCCCACCCCCCTAGCAAATTTATTGAAGAGGTATAAGGTTGGAAAGAATGTATTCAGTACACATAATATTTATTTTATATGCCAGTATATTAAATCATGACATAAAGTTCACAAAAAGGACCTCGGCAGTTTTTAATTATATCTAAACTCAACATGTTATTTCAAAGTAAGGCAACAAGTAAAATGATTGGTACTGAAACGTTGGAGCATAATAAAGGAAATTGGGTGTAATCTGTGAATCAAAATACTCAGACACAACATTTTAAATTCTATACTATGATCATTGAAGTGTTTGCTTTCAGAGGCCTACAATTCCAAATGATTGGCTGGCAAGTAATACCAACAAAAGAATCCACTAATTGATACAACAAAAAATATCAATAAAAGAGTGATAAACTTCTCCCACTGGTGGATAACCCACACCTTTAAAGTAAAAGAAATTTGTACAAAAAGGCTCAAGAATTCACGTTTCATTCTTGACGGAATGCGAGTTCGTGGCCACGTTTTGTGCGAGCGATCATTCAGCTCCATTTTGATTTGTTGATTTCTCAACAAAATCGATATCTCCGGTTCTGCTTGGCCTAACAAGTCCCTTAAAACGAGAAATTCTCCTCAGCTCAAGCTAGTGTTAACTGGAACTTTGTTACTGATGCGCCAGTTATCCTTGGATTATTTTTGTCACCATCAACGTTTTGTTTACACGCGTGCCGATAAAAGTTTGTTCGTCGCATGACTAATTGTGCGTAAAATATATATATTTGTATTTAGGAATATTTAGACAGGGCAGCCCAGTACAGCATAGCTGGTTTAAATGGGAGGGGAGGACATCCACCACACAAAAATCTCGTGCGTGGGAAATTAANGTACTATTTTTTTATAGAGTTCTTAATGGGTATATTAATATAGATATATCCTCTTATATCCAATTTTATTCACATTCGGAAAGATACTCGTTGAGGGGTAAGGACGAACTTAAATTAAAAAAGAACTACGCGAGGACTGATACTTTTAGGTTTTGCTATTTTAATAGGATTGTCCACATGTGGAATGGGCTGCCACTATCGGTCCGTCAGGCTCCAAGTGTTTCTTGTTTTAAAAGGGGTGTAAGGGATTATTTGACTGCAAGATTTGATTGATTTTAGTTTGGATTTGTTTTTTTGTTAAAGGTGGTCTGCCGTGCATGGGGATTTATCTCTTTTGCGGACCATCCTTATGGCACCTTTCTTTTTACTCTTTTGTATTATTATCTCTTAATGTAAGTAAGTAAGTAAGTAAGTAAGTTATATGTGTCATTAAATTGTAATAAATTAAAAAAAAATTAAAAATAAATTAAAAAATTAAAAAATTAAAATTATTTTTCAGTTTGTCACCTACTTTAATTGCCTTTGCCGCCATGACCGTAAATATGCAACTTTTAAGCTGGGCTCAGCACAAAATTCCAACCTCTTCCCAATGATATATTGACTCAAACTAACTAACTTGCTAGAATAGGTTGGAGGAGTATGGAAATATAAAAATATGTTGCGGTTTCGGCGCACTTCTAGTACAGATAGTCAACATATGCACATTTTCAAAAATTCCACCCAACATTGCACAAAAAGCGGACTCAATTTTTTACGAAATTTACGCCTTTAACCCATGGTAGACGCCTGAATTGAACACTTTGAAGCTTTTTCATACTTGATGATACCATAAAACAGCATTCAGGAGGGAAAAATCTCCACACCCAACTACAAAAATATTGCCGCTCAAAGCTGATTCATCGCTCTAAGTGGCCTATTGTTTTGTTTACCATGCAGAAAGAAAAGAAATCACTAAAAGGCAAGATGGATATGTCAAATGGTCATGTTTATCCAAAATATTTCACATTATTCATTTAGAGAGTGTCCTTATTAACATTACTTGAGATGTGGTAATTTTAAATTGGATAATGTATCCTCTAATTTTGTAGAGAACTAATTTATTCATAAGACCCATCTGCTGTGTTGATACCCAAAAGTTCCCATGAAATCGCCAGAAAATAATATATTCACGGAAACACACTAGATAAGCCAAGTGGATAATTATTTTCATCAATTTTTCAAGACTTGATAAACTGAAAGGAAACTGGTGTCCATAATGTTCGCTTAGTCCAACAATTCCGCCCAAGTTTGAACAAACAAGTTATTTCTTACGTCTCCAAACTTCTCCCATCGGGAATTACATAAGACATATATGTATGTACAGGCGGTCATTATCTTCAACCCTGATGATGGCAAACAACCGAAAACGTTTGGTTCAAACATTTTAATTTTTTCTAATCAAGTCAACTTGAGGAAAACATGGGAACTTCATTTACAAGGATAGACTACCAGGACGTCTCCTGAAGCACTCGAGATCATGGGAGGAAAGGAAAACTGAAACTGTTTGGTGTTACTTTTGAGCAAGTGCCAGTTAATTGGGACACTAATATTGATTATTTACTTAGTAAGGCTAGCAGTAGGTTGTACATTTTAAGAATATGTAAATATTATAGCTACACTATTGAGAATTTAGACTTACTTTTTCAAAGTTTGATCCTTTGAGTTTTTACATATGCTATTAAGGTCTGGGGGTGTGCTTTTCAAAGTAAATATTTAAGTAGAATTGATAAGCTCTTTGCCAGGTGTTACAAGCTGGGTTACTGTTTAAAGCAGCACAGTATCTTGGATATCCGTCGTAATAGAGATATGAAATTATGGCAAAGGATCTCTTCCACGAACACTGCGTTGAGCGATCTCTTACCTCCCCAGAGAACACGGCAGTTGAGAATTAGGTCGCATAATTACATTCCACCTAAGGTTCAGACAAGTCGTTTTAAATCAGTTTTTACTAACAGATGTCTTTTCAATAGTAACTAATATTTTATCATTTTTTTGTCATGTTAATTGTTGCACGTATGTTTTGCATTCTTAATGAAGAATAAGAATAAAGACCTTTACTTACTTAATCTTTTAGCCTTGAAAGGAAACTACTCATAAACTTCACGAATATCGTGTCACGCAACGTAATCATGCGAAATTAAATTACGAGTTCGTCTGAAGAATATTTTACCAAGTTGCTAAAAATGAGAAAAACGTTTGTTAGTTTCAAAATGAAATTTTCCCCTTTCCTGTGCGCAAAACTGACGCTATGATTTGTAGTTTACAAAGTAACTGGCCTAGTTTTCTAATCGGAACGAAGCGCGGGAGGCCGCTTTTGTTGCCAGATGAGCTGGATTTCAAGCTTCGCTCGTTTATTATAAACTTAAGAACTGCCGGTGGCACCATAAACAGACATGTTTTGTATGGTGTTCTGATGGGTCTGATCAAGAGCGATCTGGCAAAATATGGCCAATACCTTAAATTTCGCATTACTAATGGCTGGGTGCAATCTCTGTACACCAAAATGGGGTTCACACGCAGAATTACGACTACCTCCCGACTGGCAGTTACGCGAAAATTATGGCTTGAAACGCGATACCGGTTTCTTAATGTAGTTGCAGAAGCCGTTTCAACACACAGCATTCCAGATCAGCTTATCATTAATGTAGATCAAACACCGTCAAAATTTGTCCCAACAGAGAATGTAACAATGGCAGAGACCAATTCAAAACACGTGGCGAAGAAAGGAAGAAGTGACAAACGGTGCATGACTCTCGCTTTAGCAGAAACACTGGATGGATCTGTTTTACCATTGCAGTTAATCTTTCAAGGTAAAACAACTAAATCTTTGTCAGCCACAAACTTTCCAGAAGAGTTTTGTTTGTCCTACAACGAGAAACATTGGAGCAACGAAAAGGAAACCTTACGATTGATAAATGATGTTCTTCACCCTTACATTCAGCGACCGAAGGCAAAACTCAGCCTTGACGAGAATGCCCGAACCGTTTTGATCTGGGATGCAGTTAAAGCTCAGTCATCGAAGCTTGTTGAAGAGCGACTAAAAGAACTAAACATTATCAGTGTCATGGTGCCCAAAAACATGACACATCTCCAACCACTGATCTCTCAACATATGGAGCTGTCAAAAACATGGAGAAACGTGCATTTAGTGAATATTTCACATCATGAATCACGAATGAAATGCTGCGTAGCCCCTGGAAAGATGTTACAACGATTGAAATTGACTTGAAGTTATCAACCTTGAAGCCCTGCCATGGCAAGCTAACGAAAGAAGTCTACGAATGGCTTTTAACAGATAAAGGAAAAGGCATTATTTTTATCGGGGTGGAGATCGGCCGGTATCATGGACTGCGTGAAAAACGCTAGAAATGACCAGATTCCGTCAAGTAACCCCTACCTCTAGAATCTTGCGTACTGTTGTGTCGAGCACATGGCTCAGTTTTACGCTGTTTTAAATTTCTTGGCATCCAGTGTTGAAATAAATTTGTACCAGTTGTCACCACCAACTGTCGTAGTCGTGTTAATTTCCTTTATTCTGAAGTTCTACTTCCTCTTTCGCGTTAATTTTCTTTAATCGAAACTCGTTTTCCATTAAATTCGCGTTAATTTAAGTCGCGTTAATTTCCAACACCTTAATTTCATGGAGCATTAATGTCCTTTAATAAGGTATCCTTTGGCGGGTGCGACTTGATTTTGATTGACATTCCATATGATTGTTATGATGAGCAGCAATTTTTCAAAAAATGCCTGATATACCAAAGAAGTTACCCCTATGATTCTGCGAAGTAACATAGTTTAAAATGTGATACGTATCTAATATTTCAAAGTGTTTCCGCTGGCCAAGCTATCTACAAAATCAGAGAAAAATCATTTTCGGTTTACGCGAAATTTATGCGCAGATCTGTGGCAGTTACAACTTGTCAAACATTATTGATTCGCAAAATTGAATTTGCCTCAAAGGTTGCGAAGCCCAAAAGAAGAAATCCAAGGTTTTTATGTTTCATCTAAAAATACGGAAGAACATGTGTTAGCTTAAGAGATGTTACACATTCCCTGAGCCTTAACTATAATTTCACTAACCCGAAGTGTGACTTCTCACTTGAAGAGCTTTGCCTTGAGTTCCAATGGCTGAAGAAAGAGGAGGCTGTCCAGATTCCAGAGATGAATGAGAAAACTGTCTACCAGAGGAGCTTTTTAGAGCTGAAATAAAAATCACATCAGTTAATTAAAGCATTACATTTACCACCCTTTACATATATTTCATGAAAACACCAGGCCCTTGTTAGTCTCTTGTTACTGACCTCTGAGTGCATCTCTTTCAAAGTACACTTTGCATGCATTGTACTCCTCTATGTCCATTGTGGTCTTCAGCTTAAGCTCTACCAGGTGCAGTTCCTTGAAGACCTTTTCAGTAACAAAACAATCTTGAACCATCTTATCCAAATGGCCGCAGGAGTGTTCTTCCCACAATCTCTCCAAGCTTTCAAGAGAATCACACTTCACAGTTATCAACAAACTTCCTATAGAGACACCAGTAAGGAGCACCCTCATTTCTCTCAAGTATGTTATAAAATGATTGTGCTCTTCGCTAGACTGTGGTGGTGTAGTCTGGAGGTAATTCTCAGCAATCAAGCCGAGGATTTCATCAGTTCTCGCAGATTACATCTAGCGCTGAGCTCTTTGGCGCCTACCAAATATTGCTCTGTCTACATCAACAATAATATTCATCAGACCACCTGTTGATTTGTTAAGAAAGTCAATTTAAGTTTTTCATAGTTTACTTGGTTTTTCATTGCATAGGTATTTGACCCATTAAAATGTTAGAAAATTACACTAATTGGGGCTTACCTAATTAAACATAGACCTGGTTTTACAATGAGAAGATGCAAACAAAAATTTCTGACGAGAAAATTATTACCATTTATTATATGGCTGTGTCTCAGAAGGTCTGGGAACTACCGAATTCACGAGTTTGATTGGCTGAAATCATTAATGAAAGCGGTCTAGATTTTCCCATCTAGACCGGCATCTAGACTGGTCTAGAAAAACAAGGTACAAAGAATATAACAAATTGGCATATAAGGCACAGCCATATAATAAGCATCTTATTAAGCGAGCCAGGTCTGTATGGGAGAATCTTGACCTCGGTCGCTGGTACAGACCTCTCTGNGGACAATTTCGGCGATGAAAACGTAAAAGCGACAGAAGATAGTCAAAACAAAGAAACAAAAACGACACTCGTGAGTTCGTTGTGCTACAAACACGGTTGGCTTTCTTTCCTGGCTCCCGAAGTAAACAAGTCATTCTTTATTCTTAATAAAGCGAAATATTTTTACAACATAAGAAATCCTTTATTAACCAAGCTTGTTCGGTCAAGAAGGTTGGATATTAGCCTCGTTCTTTTTTCGCATTGTTATGGACCTCGACTTCGTCTCGGTCATAAAAATGCAAAAAGGAACTCGGCCAATATCCAGCCATCTTGACCCTACGCTGGGTTAATAACGTATATATACATATATATATATTGCTTCTTTCAGGTTTTTTTTTCCGACTTTCTCATTTAAGTTTAATAATTGAAATTCTGAGTGATCTCAATACGGAATATATTTTAAATCACGTCCAAGTGTGATGTTATTCTCACATTCATCGTGCATGTCTTAATTCAAAATGAATTTGTGATTATGATAAAATCTGTACTGACGGAAATAAGTTTTAACAGTTGAAATCAGAAATAATAGATACAATTTAAAATCTATAACAAGATATAAAAAGATCTAAAAAGGAACAATCAAACAAAACGGAATATGACCAAACACGTTTAAAAAGATGTCTCTTCAAAAAAAAGCAAGTTTTTGTATCTTTCAGTTCATCTATAGGGGAGTTGGAATTCATGTCCCCTTATCCTTAGTATTCTCACCCGTTTTAGCGGCAACAGATCGTGAAGTGGATTGCTTTTTACAGTGATCTTGTTGAACAGAGGTTGATCTTTCTCGTAAATGAAAGTCAAAGTATCTGCAGATTTAAATAACTTTTTTACGATTAAAAAAAAAGGTAAAGAATCCCCTATATATTTTCCAGCCCAGACACTCCATTCCGTAACCTCCTATCTACACGCCTGTAGAAAGTGCCAAAATATCTTTTACTCCTAAAGAGTGACCAACGAGGAATTGTTTCTTAACATTATCAATACATTTCAGGGTGAACGGCAAATGCAAAACATCCAGCAGAAGATATTGGTCGATTCTAAATACTGTTGTGAAGTAATTAACCTTCACAAACACGGTATTTGTGTGAGTCATGAAACGCAAATTTTCTCTGAAAAGTTTCCCGCGAATTTTTAAGGGGAACAAACTTTTTTTCGAAATCTCGATAACTCACTTAACTTCCCAGTGAATTAATCTGTGAAATTTCTGATGAACCCAAACAATAGCTGCCACGAAAATTTGCCAAAATGTCGCGCAAAAATCCTTTTTCGAACAAACTTTATCGAAAGCCAGAAATTTCGTCGAATAACGTCGACAGGCGTTTGCATAACTTTTGTACAATACTATAACCAAACTGTCAGAGTTCAAATTGTAAGATATGTGTGGCAGGCACTGCAGAGAACGGACTTGTAACTAGAACCAGCTAGCATTGTCAGTAGCAGGGCAAAACGAGTCATATGTCCGGTAATTTTACATCTTGAATAATAAAAAGTTTGGTTCATAACAATTTTGTATCAAGGAACGCGTTCAAAAGTCTATCAAACGATTTTTGTCTTACAAAACTCTTTGTGTTTAAATAAAAAAACACATTGGAGTATCAGGGTGGAATAATACAGGAAAAACTATCTACAGGTTGACTATCCATGGACATCAACGGTATTGAGTACCAGGGTGGACTATCAAAGGCATGAAGTACAAGGGTGAAATAACATACCAGAGACTATCTATAGGGGAACTTTACATGAATATCGAAGGTTTAGAGTACCAGGGTGGAATAATACAGGTGGAACTATCGACAGGG